TTTCAGCGAAGAGTTCACCTCAACAGCAGCAGTACAACAGCGAAGCCGAGCCAAAGGTTGCAATATTGTCTGTGTGAGAAGAGAGCAGTGAGGCAACTGTTACCAAGCTTGTTAGGAATGTGCAGGTATAATGTTCGAACTTTACACGAACTTTAGTAGATCTATCGACTTTTGATCTTATTCATATCCACTTTTATGTTGTGTCCACATACCTGATTTATATAGAGAAATTATAGGTTACTGAGCCCCTTAACAACTGGAGCAAAAACGGGGAATTTCTTTATGGCAACAATTTTGATGGGTCTACATGCTTTGGTACTTACTGCAGTTCGAGTTTACTGCGCTAGAGTTGTGATGGCAAGTTGCGAGACGCGAGACCAGCATTTCTTTAAGGATGTACTTGACGAGAGAGATACTTATCACGAGCAGTTACTCGAAAAATATGCATGCACTGTTCCAACAGGTACGGAATGCTATTTGGCAAATGTACTCATGTGCACCTAAAGAAGAAAACCAGGTCCTGTTGAAAAAAAAACTCATAACGTTCCAACACATATCTCGTGAAACGCCAGTCTCTGTTTACCTCACAGAGGAAACGCAAAGGTTCCTCGTGCTTTTCAGTCGTTTGAGAGCAAATGACGTCCTGGATTCATAGATTCATAGGGATCTTGGAAATGGGATTTTGTGTTAGCGTGCACGGTTCGTGAAACACCATCTCGACCCTTCTATCTGGATCGCAGCGCGTGGGGGGAGGCAATCAGTTTGAAATTGTTTATCTTGGATTTGCAAGCAATGATAGTTCGGACCTAATCCTTCCCATGCATTAAAAGGTAACTCTTTTCTTCTTGATGGTGACGAACTCTCGAGATTCCTGTAGTGAAGATAAAACGGTTCCAAAAAACGTGAGAAAGGTACAAAAGTATGTTGCATTGCATTGTGGGATGAAAGAATCCTTATCAAAAGCTCTTCTGATGCGATCTTAATTTTAAGTTTAGGTGTGTAAGTGATAAGTACCATCATAGGCTTCGATACTTCTATCAAAAGACATATTCGTTCCACACATATTGTAATCGAGTTTGAATTGCAGATGACAGCTTTCCTGAAATTCAGTCCATTTCTCTAATCAAAAAAGCTCCCCAGGCCTTATTAGTGCATCTACGCCGGAACCCATGATCCAATACCTAATCATGATCTGCTCAACATCACTATAAATTTTGAATGATTTTGTGTTGAGCAGCCGATGTGGTGGTAGAAGTGATATAGATGATAAATGATAACGCCGCCTATCCCTTATCCTTTTCTTCTGGCTTTAGTCTTACATGAGACAATTCGACTAACCTCCACATCCTGGTCAAAGCATATTAGACCAAAAATAATATCTATGACCACAAGTGTCATGAAAGTCCACGAGATATTCTGAAGATAGTGGATATCAGTGAAACAACAATGTTCAGCAGCAGAAAGGCTAACGAATGATTGAGTGGAGCGTTTGAGACATTCGACCTTCCATTAGGTGATGCATAATTATTACGGATTTTTTCCAGCAAATTTTACTTAAATAAACTACAGAAATACTAAGCAAAGACATATTCAAATAGTTACTCTGGAACTTATTCAGCATCTACGTCAAGCACTGCTTCCCATTGATTGGTTAGTTGGATCCCAAAAGCNTGGTGAAAATGGCAGATTTAGGGGCAGATCCCATTTCTTGGTTGGCTCTGGCTGATTGTTCGATCGCCAGAAAGTTACTGAATCGCAGAATGACTGTGCCACCTTCCAATCTTTCTCGAAGTAGTAAAGCCTAATTTTGCGAATATGCGGATGGTTTTCTGAGTATATTTTTGTAGAGGAAATCAAGTAGATCATTTGTAGAAAAAACCTGGACTCAATCTTCAAATTCTATCGAGAGAAAAAAAGCCGCGAAAAAACTCGCAATAATTATGCATCAACCTAATACTATTACTCGTAACATTGACTACTCGGGAAGATATTACTAAGACTCCCTTTGGTCTGTTTCTGTTTGACAGAATCAGGGAGGAAGGATGGGGGACATGAGCGCCGCAATCCACTTTTTGCTAGTTCTAGAGTCTCGCTTGAGGAGCAGTCCAAACTCCGACGCAGTAGTGGAAAAATGGTGCACTCAGGCGCGAAAACACTTGCGAGATTTGTTCGACTCCTTTTCTTTCCTTATCAGCAATCCTTTTTCTAATGCAAGCTTGAAGAATTCGTATGCACTTCTTCATCGCCTTACCCTTTGAATTGATCTCCATATTTCGGTCGTTTGTCACAACTTACTTTGGTTCACGGCATTTCCTATAGCTCCCTTGGTTTAGGAGAGGTACTTCTCGATCGCGTCCCTCTGATTTTTCTTCCGAAGCTGTCGCTTTCTGTATTCTGTGGCCTTAGCAGCGCACTCACCGTGGTTGGCATTCTCTAGATGGGTCCGGTCCTCCCCCCCCCCCCCCCCACCATAAGTGTTCCCATCCTGCCGCCTATATTCCTGCCAAGTTTGAACTCCCTAGGGGCAAATTGAAAATTTTGGCGCAAACCCCGCCCTCCGTGGCCCGATACCGCCACCCGCCATTAGTGTTCCCACTCTGCTTCGGATACTCTTACAAAATTCGAATTTTCTAGGTCGACTGAGACAGGAGTTATTATTTTCCACTCGAACACTTATTTCGCGCAAACCTCGCCCACTAAGGGCGGAGTCCGGTTCTCCCACCTACCATAGTGTTTCCATCCTGCCTTGAGTATTGATACCAAATTTGAACTTTCTGGGTTCCCAGGGACAGGATTTATTATTTTCCGCTGAAACATTTTGTACGCACAAATCCCGACCCCTGTGGGCGGAGTCCGGTCCTGCCACCCACCATACATGTTACCATCCTGCCGCCTGTGCTTCTACCAAATTTGAACGTCTTAAGTCCACGGGGACAGAAGTTATGAATTTCCGTACAAACAAACAGACAGACAGACAGACAGACAGACGGACGGACGGACAGACAGACGCGAGCGCTTTATATAAAGTAAGGATTACGCTTGCGGAAGGCAAACGTGAGAAAGAAAACCAAAAACAACGTAAATGTTGAACATTTGTACAAGCAGCCAATGCGCAATAGAAAGATAAGTTAGTTGTTAATCAGTCTCAAGAAACGTTAGGACCAGTTCCCTTCAGCAGCAACTTAACTAATTGGCGTTTGAACTGTGCTAGCAATGAGAGACGGGTGTATTTTTCACCACTCTTAAATAATCACTGCCATCCCCGAAGGTAAAGCTACTCGCTCGCAAGTTAGTTTTGGGACGTGCCAAAGAAAGCTTCATGGAGCCACCCCTAGTCCTCGAATGTGTCAGCTCGAAGGCATTGGAACCGTGACCACACGTGCCATGTACAAGTTTGTTAACCAAACAAAGATCGAAAACCCTGCGTCGCGTTTCTAAAGATGCCTGTTCAAGATACTGATTCCTGATAGCTGCCTTTGGTATTCTGGAGTACAAAAATCCACCAATTCTAATGAGCAGCTTACGAGTAAGGTTATGCTGAGCCTTTTCAAGCACGTAGACATGCTTCCTTTTCTTGCTGTTGAAGACCGTAGTGCTGGATTCGACCAAAAATCGCGCGTACGACTTGTAAGCACGCAACAGAGCTCCTTTATTAGCTAAAGACAGCTCTTTGAGAATTTGGAAGGTCCGAAGATTGGCTACTCTGATCCTCGTTCTGGTGTGCACCGTGAAGTCCAGTCTGTCATTGTAATAAAAGCCGAGGTCTCTGACGGATAGCACAGCAGAGAGACATCATCAACAGTGTACGTTCGAGTTGGTGAGGTACAAGAACGTAGTTGCATGTACACTGTCTTGTGTGGCGCTATAGGCAGTCGCCAATCCTTCGACCACTCACCGTTAGATCAATTGCTGCTTGGAGTTCCTGAGAGTCTGCTTCTTCTGAAACTGCCTTATAGATTTTTATGTCGTCAGCATACACCTTGGGAGTGACGCCTACTTCACGAAGCTTATCAGGAAACATGCCCGTGAAAACATTGAAAAGCACCGGTAACAGCACACATCCTTGGGGCACACCACTTATTACCCGCCGGACTTCCTCCGAAAAGGACAAACCAATTTCAACTTGGAACGTTCTATTACTCAGATACTCGGAGAGCCAATTCGTAGTGATCGGGTGGAATTTCAAAGCTGTCATCTTTACGATCAGTTTCTAGTGCGGAACCTTATCAAAAGCTTTGGCAATGTCGAAGTAAATGACGTCACAGGAAAGCTTCTCATCAAGAGCTTCTGTCCAATCGTCCAGGCACTCAATCATATTTGTTTCAACAGAAAGACCAGGAGTGAAGCCATGCTGGTGCCTCGAAACAATATAGTTAATAGACATGTGACGACTGACATGCTTTTTTAAAACTTTCTCAAATAGCCGACAGAAAAGAGACGTAATGCTTACGGGGCGACAATTGCTGCTTGCTCGATAGAATCCGCATAGCAGCTTCTCCTCTTGACCACTTCTTGATCAGGAACCTCTCAGGACTCCCCAGTGAGCTACATTTTTGTCCACTTGTATGTCCTTGCCCAGTTAGATCTTCAAGTAACGGACGAATTACTTTGGATGATAGAAGAAGCTTGTTCGTAAAATATAACTGCGCTGTTTTGTGGTCATAATCCCTTAATGTAGGTGGCCGTGGGAGATAGCGAAGTGGTTAAGTTTACAAGCCGTGCCTGCACTCACGAAGGTGAACGTTACGGTTTTTGAAACCGAGTCCTTGCGCTCGTAAAGAGTTGGTTAATCAAGACTGTAGAGTACATTGAGGCTGTGCTTCTTAAAGAAGCTGCGCAACACAGGCTCTCTTATCATGCCTATGAAGAGAACTGAAGAACAAGTGTAAAAGGGAAGCGGACAGTTCAGTATTTGCGCGGAGAAAAAGATTCTACTAAACGAAAGATACTGAAATTCGATCTCTCTGATCCTTGAGGGCCGGTCCAGTGAACTTAAAGCTATGATTAACGTCCGACAGTGCGCAAGAGAAACGCTGTAAGAAAACGGGCTTAATGGTGAGCAGATAACCGCCACATTTTAGAAAAGTAGAAGGACAACTAGTTCTTATAAAGAAAACTAAAAAAGCGAACTTCCGGCGATGTACCTGTCAACAGAAGCTGTAAATGGCTCTCCAACGCAGCCATGATGGAGTCATAAACAAAAACTGAACTTTTCCTATCAAGCTTTACAGATGAGAATCGAAGAAGTCCGTCGCCAAGCAAGCCAAAGCCCGCTTTTGGGCTACTCAAGACGTTTGGTTGAAGAGGGTCGTAAAAGCAACGACATCATTCTAAGAAAAGCAATGCAGTTTGAGCATAGACGAGCAGATTCTGCGATGAGCTGATATGCAAAGAATTTTTCTGAGCAAAAAAACAATGAAGGTAGGAAAACGTTTGGGTTAGATAAGGTACGAGTCGTGGAAGACACTAGGAAACCACGGGAAAATGAAGGGGAAGTGGTGAGAAAAGAATATATCCTGACGCTTAACTTCTTTCAGTAGGGGAGACTCTTGCTGGGAGCAATTCTTCACTCTGCCTATACATTGCTGTATGCCGAAAGTAGTTTCGGGACAACCTGCAAAAAAGGCAGACAGAAAGTGCAGGCAGAGAATGGTTTATGACCGAACAGGCTGCTTCCATAGTCCGCCGGCTTGCCGACGTGCCGCGGACTATGAAAGCAGCCACAGGGGGAAGGTTAAGTTCTTTGGCTTCGAGGAGTGATCAGAGCCAATCATTGATTGCTTCAGAGAAAACATTGAACGAGGAGTGTATCACACTTGTAAATTGAATAATTAGCTGCTAGCGAAAGCGCATACCAAATAAGACGACACGGATAAAAACAGCACAGATGAAATGTTGGGAATCTCTTTCTATGCTCTGCGAATGATGATTGTCCAGTGATTTGAAAGGAAGAACGGACAGCGGTGAGCTATCATGGCTTTTGCTGTGCCAACCTGTAGATATGCCATCTGGTGTAATTTTGCAAGCTAGCCTATAGAAAATAAAGCTACTCTACTCTGTTTGAATGAGTATATTAAGATGTGCTCGTGGTTGAGCGCTTCTGGATTGGATTGGAAACGAAACTTCACAGCGGTTATGAAAGAAACTCTTACGCAGCGCTCGCGATGGTGTAAACATCTGCTGACACGATTGGAGTACAGGAACTTCTCTAGCGAGTATGCTTTAAATGTGAGGGATGCCAGTAGAGAACCTGCTCCAAGAAAAGTTGAGATGGATCATTGTAATATGAAAGAATGAAGGCTAAGCCAATGCAGGAAATGTGAATAGAAGGAAGAGGCGACAGTCGATAAAAGCGCGAGTCAACTTAGAAGGAAAGGGAATAAGACAGAAGAAACAGTGACTGTGGAAAAACTTCACTGGATCTGACAAGGTTTCATTGGTGTCTTTAAAGAATACCGTGAACATTGGAATATGCCGAAAGTTTTGACAGAAGAGCGGTCTCTTCGTAGACGTTTTTCTGGACAGTGGAGCGAGTAAACTAATCCTTCACAAGATGGGCATCACATCATTTCAAAAGCTCTTATCAGATGTGTTTATGTGAACATCGTTGGGGAACTGTCTGATCACACCCATTCCTATTTTGCGGTGTTCGATGTGGTGTGTTAAGAGGTGCTGTTGGTTATTTATGGAAGCGGGTTGTGAGAGCACTTGGGCATATGGTTGCTCGTTGTTTGGAGTAGAGCACTATGATAAGTTGTGAGCATGAGGAAAATTGCTTGTTTAGGATGCAAAAGGCGGCGAAACGATCGTAAAAGTGATGGAATATTTGAAGTATTTGAAGTTTATAAAATTGAACTCGAACGGTAACACGATACATAGTACAGGCTTGAGCGGTTCGGAAGGCAAGGCAAAAGAACGTTTGTGCATCAGGTTGGGAATCGAGCAAAGGGGTGGCACATTATTGATATTCAGCATATGCTTGTAGAACCAAGTGAATCCAAATTTCACCCGATGTTGGTTAGCTTCTTCAATCGAATCAAGTAATTCTCACAGAAGGTCTCTGTGGCAAAGAGCAACTTTCGAGGGATCATCAAGGGTGAGATCGACGTGGTAAACTATTTACAGCAGAGCGTGCCACACTAATCAAGCGACTCAACGGGCCATTTGTGCACGATGCCGACGAAAAACATACTCATTCAGGGAGCGCGAACACGTACAGCGCGACTCTAATAAGCTTAATCTCTCCATTCATGTTGTTGTTGTTCGCTACTCAGTGATACCTTGACGGGATTTCTTAAGAACTTTTGCTCGAATAGTCCAAAACCCTATTTTGACTCTGCGAGTAGCCCTTTGACGTATGTATGTTGCATGTCATGCATGTTTTTGTTAATAGTTCGACGTTTTATACTAGCTTCTCTGGTATAATGTCTGATCTGGTTTGTCTCTGACTTGTTTCCGGCTCAAGATAACCTAATGGTTCTCTGCAGCCCTGTGCTTCATGATGAATTGCTTGCCTGTTGAGCAGGACGGTGTTACGATAATTGATGAACTACAGGTTACCGAATCGGATGAGGCCAAAACCGATAGAGCATTAGAGAACCTCAAACCTTTTTGGATGAGGGAGCAATTTATACTTAAAGATATTTTACTGTGAGGCGAAACTTCTCATATCATTCAGCCCGAACAAGAAAAAGTTCCCAATTTCCACTCACTGTGAAGCTCTGGAATTTCTCCGCACGAAATTTCTTCCGAAAATTGTACGAAAACAGAATACTGGAAGATCATTTTTTTGCGAGGTTTGTCCTCTGGAGGATTTTGATACCGCTGAATGCCTCANAAGTGTTCGGCTATCTTATAAATTATGCCGATCCCGTTTTTTCAATTTTTTCAAAGCGAGGAAAAAATATTCAAAAGGTGATCTCGATGTATCCCCTTAATTACTCGCAATTGTTTACCTTTTTTTTTGGAACGTTTCTGTTCTACTCTCAAAAAGCTGTCATATCGTTACGGAGATCATTTTCATCACCTCTCGGCCTGGTGTATTCATTGTTTTTGTTTTTCTTCACTTCTCGTTTTATAAATACTCGTTATTAATTCATTTACTGCTGCTTGTGGGAGGCATGCCACTGCTAGCGACATAGATTGAGCCGAAAAGCGAACGATATGCTAGAATTGCAAGAAAATAAACAGAACGAACGCAACCTTACCGTAAACTGTATTTTTTCTACCTCCGCAGTTCTCATTGCTAATGCTATTACGAACGGTGCTGAATTACCATTTTCCCATTTTACACAGTCTTTTTTATCAGGGACTTACTCCAATAGAGTTAAACAAATATTGTCTTGTATAGTATTAAAGTGTGCAATACATTGACTAGCACTCAAACGGTGAGTGTGATGCCAGGGAATAATGTTACTTACACCAGCAAAAAAACTGCCTTCGTGGCTCCATAAATTAATCAGCTTGGCGCCAGTAAGCACAAGCATCACGTGGGCAATGTGAACAAAGAAACTACATAGGCAGTCGCCAGTTGAGAAACAATCAACTTCTAATAGGCCTTTAGTGGATGACGATTAATGAATCGCGAGTGAGATGGAGAAGGCCTCAATAGGCAGATCGGTTTCCCTTCAAGCGGTGTTCGGTATGAGGCGGGGTTCAGCCTTGATGCCTGGAAATCCTATCGTGGTGAACAAAAGCAGAGATTCCTCTGAAATTAAAGTGCTCCTTGAAGAATTTTATCACTTTCTCGGAACGACGCCTGCATTGGAAAAAATCTTAGTGGGTATTAATGAAAGAGATAGACTGGTTATGTCGCCTACAACGGACGGGCAGCACGGCTAGTTAGTGCTTGGTTCCAGGACTTCTCTTACTTTCCCGAAAAGGTCGTTGAAGGAAGCTCAAAGGAGGAAAACAATAGTCGAGGGAGGGTCATTCACTGAAATGACGAATCCTGCCAACAGCTTAATATTTAAAATCAAGTCATCAAGTTGATGAAATTGGCAGGCATTAACATCGTCTAGGAAAGGTTAGGTGTACAATGTTTAGAACGTACACATAGATAAGCAAAGGGGAGCTAAGTGATTCGGAATTTGATTCCAGACGGCTTGGAGGTTGGAATAATGAGGTATGTATTTGATGCTTAAAATAGAATACGGCTCACGATTAGTAGTTCACGCGCGAATAGGCGTAGAGCGTAAAAAAGTTCGTAATCTGGAATCTCGAGAAAATTGAAAGTTGATGCTCATGGATATCTGCTGGTGATGGAACGTAAGAAGCGGCAGTATAAGAATTTCGTGTGACAGACACTGTTATCATTCATAAGCCCTGGGCGTCTGCCATTGTATGTTGGATTTGAAGATTAACTTAACTGACCTAACCATTATTAACTAACTAACTTCAAGGTAGCGATCGTATCAATTACTACCTGTATCATCATGAGAGTTCCGGTCAGTAATCGCCCTGGTCCAACGGTCATCGCAACACCGTATACGTGTTCGGCAACCTCACCTTTGATTCCTTGACGTGTATAGGGAGGTTCCGAGTATCGTCCTATCCTTATCGCGTTGAATGACGCTAAGTGCATGCTCATTCTGCTTTCGTAGAGTCCAAGTGTCCGAGGCGTACGACAAAGCAGTGTCGTAGAGTGAGCGCAGAGCCACTTCTTCTTTGACATCTCCACTACTCCTTCGACATTCTCTTATAGTGAGGTTCCTCGACATTTCAGTATAGTCAGGATCGTATAATGAGACTGAAGAGCATTGCAATAATTGGACAAAGGTCAGCGATCGCAGTGCATTAAAATAGATTTGGGTGTTATGATTTGAAAGTATCGGATTAGTACGCAACGGACCTAAGCCTGAAAATGAAAAATCCAAGGGGAAGCTCCGTAGAGGTCAGGGAAATCTCTCCTTGCTTCGAGTTAGTTTTACAAATCACCTAATCGGGAATCGTCTAGTAGATGAAGTTGACGTAGCACTGAAATGTGACTCACCAATGGTAGAAGTCTGTGGTGTCTCTTGTCGCACTCCAGCTGGGTGGCTAATTCTTTAATGGTGATGTAGCAGTGGCAATGGACGCTCTATCACTAGCGCAGTCCAACTGGTGGAATCTTTCAAGTTTATTGACCTTACATAAGCAATGGACTAGCTGCCGGACCGTAATCGTCCCTTGTAGGTGAAAATATAGATTTCAATAGCTGTCGAGTTCAAACCATAACAATTCTCGGAATTTTTCGTAGTCGGGTGTGGCATCCTCACTCGAACGGCGTGTCGCGCTCGCTGCTCTTGATCGGCGCTGTGAAGAAAAAGATTTGAATTCCCAATGGAAGGATACGGCGGTCGCTGTGGAACTATTGTAGCTGGCCATGGAAACTCGGGGAGAAGTT